AACTAATTCACTTCATTGTACTGATGGGGTGGTCATAATAATCTGGTCCATCATAATAATTTGGCCACTCAATATGTGTGTGTGTGTGTGTGTGTGTGTGTGTGTGTGTGTGTGTGTGTGTTGATTTCAGAGAAGGAAGAGACATAAACATCAATAATGAAAGAGAATCATTGATCAACTGCTTCCTGCACTCCCCCTACTAGGGATTGAGCCCGCAATCTGGGCATGTGCCCTGACTGGGAATTGAACCGTGACCTCTTGGTTCATAGGTCAATGTTCAACCATTGAGCCACACAAGCCTAGCTGCATGCATCTTTTAAGTGAATAGGGCAGAAATACCAAAACCAATGTTTTGACATTTATCTTGGATATAAGAGAGGTGAAAGTGATACACTTCTTTAAATTATGAAGTAATTTTAGGATCCCTGATATTTGTTGTGAAATGATAGCAAAAATAGAAGCATTTACAAAGTGAGTATAAAATAATGAACATTGTCTGTTAGTGCAAAGAAGTCTTTCCAGGGAATTGTAAATTGTCTTTACTGAACAGAAGTCTTGAAAACAGTTTCCGTACAATTATATGAACTACCACATGATCAAAACTCAATATTAACAGGAACAGATTGTGAATCTTTTATTAAAACAGAAATATTCTTTAAAAATTGTTCATTTCTCCCTTTCAAACAGAATCCCATCTGTTTCAAGACTAAATAAATGTCAACACAGCAGTTCATTTCCAGAATGTAGTAAACATTGCAAAAGTAGTTTCAAAGCATATGGCAAAAAATTTTCCCCAAACAACTCTATGTCTTAAGAAGAAAACTAGGAACTTTCAAACTGTTGCATTGTATGTGTTCTACTTATTTCACTGAATGAAAATCCAACATTCAGCCATTATATATTCCTCAGCAAGACAATTTTGCTTTAATATGAATGTGCTGAATATTTTTACAGAAGTATTCTTTAAATGAAAGTATTTAGACACTAGTTTATTTAAAGGAAAAGAAGGAATGGAAATATTGACTTATCTTCTATTGGAATCTTAATGTCTCACCAGGGAAGGGAGGAAATATGCTGTAATGTACATATACATAGATATTTATTCTATGTATCTCTTTTCACTAAAAAATTTGGGTAAATAGTACCATTTTGACTTCTTTATATCCATTAATAAATTATTATGGTAGTAAAAAGGAATATTTGCCCTTTTAATAACTTAGTTATTTGTATATAAAAAATCTGTCCTTCAAAAATCCAAGAAAGGGCCCTAGCCAGTTTGGCTCAGTGGATAGAGCGCCAGCCTGTGGACTGAGGGGTCCCGGGTTCGGTTTCAGTCAAGGGCACATGCCCACTTGCAGGCTCGACCCCTAGTAGAGGGTGTGCAGGAGGCAACCAATCAATGATTCTCTCTCATCATTGATGTTTCAATCTCTCTCTCTCTCCCTTCCTCTCTAAAATCAATAAAAATAAAAATAAAAGAAACTGAATTCTAAACCAAAAAAACAAACAAACCTGAGAAAGTGACTTTGGTTCTTTCAGCCAATAAAAGTTTACCATATTTGCAGTGACATTCTTTGCAGCATTATTTGTAACAGTGAAAGACTAGAAAGAATCTAAATATCCATCATTAGGAAATCAGCTAAATATATTTTTGTACATCCATACAACAAAAAGTGATGCAACTTTTAAAATAAGTGAGGTAGATCTAAATTGAAAAGTCTTCTAAGTTACTAAGTGAAAAGGCATTATATAGATAGATAGATAGATAGATAGATAGATAGATAGATATTATATTGTTGAATATGAAAATATGCAACCAAGCATCATTGCCTCTAGCAATGGCAACTGAGAGACATACTTTACACTGTACTTACCCATTCATGTTGCTTGAATTTTACCATGAGCATGTTTTTTTCAGTGAGGTATAAGTGACATATAACATTCATTATATTAGTTTCAGGTGTACAATGTAATGGTTCAATAGTTGTATGTTGTGAAATGATAGCCACAATAAGTCTAGTTAACATCTGAAGATTTTTAATTAATTAAAAACTTTCTAAAAAGTAGGTGGAAACCTAAAATGGAACCTCAACCTCTATGGTTAGCAGCTAATGTGAAAAAAACTATGCAGTATATGTTTTTCTTTTTTGAAAATTTATGGTATCTTGGGTATATATTAAAGTATTAGTGACAATACTTAATATATATGACTATTATACTGTGAACAAATTATTCTACAAATAATGAAAGTTTTTTCTCTTCTTATTCCAGACTCTTACTTTCCTAATTTGGAAGATGCTGGTATATTCAAGACACAGGGCTTGAAGGCTCACACTGCACCCTCCCATTCTACCCATGCCCTGTGAGCCATTCCCAGCCTTAATGGCAGCACGGCCACTCCAAATATTGCAACCTCATTAATGGAAAATTGAAATTTCACCTAAAATTTTATAGAACAAAGGGGATAAATCATATTAGGGAACATAACCCTAATGTGATTTAAACACCCCACCTTGGACAATCTGTTCTTTCACCAAAGCTCTCTCATGTCAGCTCAAATCTAATCTTCTCTCCTCCTCTGTGGGTTTGCATATCCTGACATTTTGCTACCATCCTTAGCAACTTTTCTAGTGCCCACCTTACCGGTTAGCCCATCAGCAATGTAAAAGGCAGGTAGCAAGCAAACTACGGTAAATGAGTGGCCAACTATTGCACAGCAAACTGCTTCATGTCTTCAGCCTTCAAATGGCAACCTGGACAGGGTAGATGCTGCCCTTGGACTCCAGTGAGTACAAATGCAACCATATCTAACTACCTATGCTAAGATCACATATCTTCCACACTTGAACATCTTTGAAATCAGGCTGTATCTTATAATCGCTGCTGACCAGATGGTGATCATAATGTTGACATCCCCTACCCAGGCACCATCAAAACAACAGTACCTACACCCGTAGGATGGGTGTCAGCTTTTTATTCCCTAGGAACCAGAGTTGTAAGTTTGGGGTGAATCCAATATACTTAGCCACATTCCTGAAGTAGGTGCTCCAACAAGTGAACCACACCAGCCAGGGCTAAATGCCTTTTAATCCTTGACACCTATTGTCTAATGTACCCAGGATTCTTTCTAGTGATTTCACATGTAGCACATCCTGAGGCAGCTGAAAAAAAGTAAGTCTGCATATATTTATACAGTAACTAGAGACCTGGTGCATGAAATTTGTGCATGGGGGGAGGGTGGTGGGTGGCCCCTCAGCCCCGCCTGTATCCTCTCGAAATCTGGGACCCCTCAGGGGATGATGGGCCTAAACCTGCAGTCGGACATTCCTCTCGCAATCCGGGATGCTGCATGCACCAGTGACCATACTTTTCATAAATGTGAAAGGCATCTTGCTGTTGTATTGGCAGCTACATTTTTTTGCCCTGATTATAAAAAGTAGTACATAACATGATCCTTCTGAGGCAGTAGTACCATTTTCTTCATCTTATGAGTGGAAAAACTAAAGCAGAAAGAAGTTAAGTAATTGCCTTTGTCACACAGTTATAAATGTCAGAATCAGGGATGACCACAAAATGTACAAGCCAGCCCTACCTGGTTTAGCTCAGTGGATAGAGCATCGGCCTGTGGACTGAAGGGTCCCAGGTTTGATTTCGGTCAAGGGCATGTACCTTGGTTGCTGCGGGCACATCCCTAGTAGGGAGTGTGCAGGAGGCAGCTGATCGATGTTTCTCTCTCATTTATGTTTCTAACTCTCTATCCTTCTCCCTTCCTCTCTGTAAAAAATCAATAATATATATATTTTTTTTAAATGTACAAGCCACAGCATGCGTGTCATTGCTGCATCATCCTGTTTTTTTTTTTCAGTGTTAAAGAAGCCTTGACAGATTTTAACTTTTAAATCTAAGAGACTGTTCCCAATATATAGGGTAGGGTCCGTAGGCCTGGCCGGTGATCAGGGCCATCTGTGGGGTGATGGGGATGGGGAGGTGCGCAGCTGGCACCCTTTTTGGCTGGCTGCCTGGCCCCGCCTGCTGGCCAGCCCCACCCCCTGATCACCGCTGCTGGTCACCTCTGGGCGGGGGCGGTGGGGGGGGGGGGCACATGCTCAACACCTGCATGCATTATAGCGACCAGTTGTTCCACCATTCAGTTGATTTGCATATTAGGTTTTTATTATATAGCTTCAGAGTAGCTCTTTTGAAGCCTCAATCTAAGAGTGCATAAAACAAAGGCTGTAACAAAAAGTTCTCAGAAAATAGTGTTTGGAATTGGTATAAACTAGTGGGCCTGAGCTGCAATAGGACAACTGGCAGCACTTAGATGCCCATCCCCATTTGAGCCAATTGAAGAGGTGAGCCCAGAAACCTGAATATTTAGATAAGCTCCTCTGGGAGATAGACATTGCCAGGTAAGGGAATTATACTCCTGCTAATTACCACTTAGCTCTCTAACAGGGAGGCAATCAAAATAAGAGAGGCACTACCCTTCACTGGTTACATCGTCTTTGCTATCCTTAATTTCCTACAGATATACCTTCTTACAGAAATATATGAGAAGTGATAATTTTTGAAGAAGTGTTAAAATCTTTTGAACACTATAAACATGGGATTAATAAACATATCAAACATGTTTTATATTCTGATGGGATAGTAAAGAGTACTTTTAAATATGGGGATCATCTTTGATATAGTCTTTAAAATATAATTTTTGGTCTCTAGTCAAGAGAATAGAGACTTCGAAGTGATATTTAAATTGAATTTAATTAAACACAAAGTGTCACATACTTCCACCTTCCCAGAAATAGTCATTTCATCTTATTTAAGGAAATGGAAATTGTTATGACTTAAGTATTCATTCTGTGATATGAGTGTTTGGACAAGTTTAGGTACACAGCAAAGATTTAGAAGTTCAACCACCAGAGCAATATTTTTAAAATGCTAAAGCCAACTCAATTCTCCACCCAGCAATTCAATATGAACTTAGTTTAATTAGGCCTCGACTCTGGATACACTAGGTCCTTGGTTTTATGACCTTGGGGTCATTATGATCTTCCCTGGAAAGCTGTCCAGGATACACAAGCTCTTCCTTTCGAGTCCTTCAGTTAGCTTGGGCAACTCTACTATGGGAACCAATGAAGCTCAACATTGTTGTCACCAGCTGTGGAAGGTCAAAATCATGTTTCCAACCCCAGTCCTTACGGGCATTGCTGTCATCGAAGTTCATCGGCCAACTATCCGCTAGGAAAAGGTACAGAAGAGTAGCTTAAGTTTTTCAGGCTCTAGAATTGCAAAAAGGTCTAGAATCCTATCTAATAATAGACAAACATGGTAATTGACCATACCTTCGCTACACCTCTCATTGGCTAATCAGCGTGATATGCAAATTAACCACCCACAAAGATGGCAGCTAATTTGCATACTGCAGGCAGATCCTGCTGCGCAGCCCCAGCTGATGGCCACCCCAGCGGGAGATCCTGGCCTGCCGTGTGCAGGGTCGGGCAGGCAGGGTGGGCAGCAGCGCAATCCCGAGCCACCGCCCGACTAACGCGGGATCCGGGCCTGCCATCTGCGACCGGGGGAGACGGGGCAGACACCACCGTGGGATTGGGCGTGCCATCTGCCACCAGGGGAGTGGACCTAAGCCAGCAGGTGGTTATCTCCTGAGGGGTCCCAGACTGTGAGAGGGCACAGGTTGGGCTGAGGGACCCACCCCCCCTTGCCATTGCACAAATTATTGTGCACCGGGCTTCTAGTACTTTATATAATGGTCTATCATACAAGATACCATAAAATAAATTGCCTCTTTGAAATTCCCCCTTTGAGCAAACCAGAGCAGCTACTATATGCATACACAGTCGCCCTCTTAGATTAGAAGACTGTATTATACGTCTACTGTCAGGCACTGTGAATTGTCACACACTATTAAAATCTCATGCAAACCCATAAGGTAGGAATCTTACAGGCAAAGGTGCTCAGAGCTACAGAGTGGCACGGTCACAGTATTTGCTCCTTTCCTACTATGTCTGCTTGTTTTATGTTCAAACTGTAAAATGGTGAAATGCTGACAAGCTGTTTATTTGGAATGAAACTATTCCACCCACTTTATTCCACCCATTTCCCAAAATCGCAGCCTCTGTGGGCTATGGCTCAACAACTCCTTCTCCAGAAGGTGCCAAGACCCTCAGGAAGGCTTCAAGCTCTACTTATCCTCCACTGATTACTAGTATGTCCTCAAGGGACTCAGTGCAGAGTGAAGCATAACCTCAGTTTGACAGGGTTTGCAATGATGTACCAACCTATGGCCTGTCGAACAGAATCCACGTTGTACGTGATCTGGAATTCTGGTATGTGCTTAAGAACCTCCTGGGCCAGCTCCTCGGGGCAGAAGCTCATGGCATTGATGTTGTAAGTCCGACTAGAGAGGGACTCTACCGGGGCCTCCATGAATTCCAGGGTGGCCCTGAGGCAGTCATCAAGGTACATCATCGGTAGCCTCGTGCTAGGTTTCAGGTAGCACTCGAATTTGCCATTCTTGATTGCATCGTGGAAAATCTGGACTGCATAGTCTGAAAGAAAATCCTGTCAGTGGGTCTTCTTAGGAAAAAATCATGAGTGAGCTTCTTGGATTAAGGCAGTGGTTCTCAAACATCTTAGTCTCTGAACCTCTCTATGCTCTCTCTTTCTTTTTTTTAAATGTATTTTTATTTATTTCAGAGAGGAAGAGAGAGGGAGAGAGGGATAGAAACATCAATGATGAGAGAGAATCATTGGTCAGCTGCCTCCTGCACACCCCACACCAGGGATCGAGCACACAACCCAGGCATGTACCCTGACTGGGAATTGAACTGTGACCTCCTAGTTCATAGGTTGATGTTCAGCCACTGAGCCATGCTGGCCGGGCCCATTCTATGCTAAAAAAAAACCACTGAGGACCTCCAATGAGGTATTTTTCATGTGAATTATACTAATATTGACTGTATCAGGAATTAACTGAGAAAAAATGTTTAAATATTACATTTTAAAATGACAATAACAGACCATTATATATTCACATGTATGACATTTTATATGAAAAAGGACATATTTTCCAAACAAAAGAAAATTTAGTGAGAAGAATGGCATGTTTTATGCTTTGAAAAATCTCTTTACTGTCTGGTTAAGAGAAGACTACTGTCCCCTATCTGCTTCTGCATTCAGTCTGCTGTGCTAGCACACATCACGCAGCCCCTGGAAAACTCCCCAGTGCGCTTGGAAAGGAGAGTGAAAGGGGCAAATAACAGCTTACGATTGATATGAAAATAGTTTCAACCTCTTGGACCCTTTGAAAAGGTCTCAGGGATACACAGGGGTTCCCATACTTGGAGAAGCACCACACTAAGGCAAAAGTGTTTTATTTTAATTATTAATTAATTAAAATTAGTAATTATTGTTAATATTGACTTGTTCCACCTAGCTATGCATTCATTGGAATGTGCTTTGACTGGAGATTGAACCGCCAACCAACTGAGCTATCTAGCCAGGACTAGGAAAAACTTTAAAAAAAAACTTTTTAACAAAAACCAAAGCCTCTTTTTAAATCCCTCAGATTTTTCAAGTATCTTTTATAGTGTATCTCAGGACCCTTCATAAGGGAAGGATTTCTAATGTAGGAGTTAGGAAATATAATGAGTGCTTGGGTCCAAATTAATAATAATAATGATAAATGCTTATGTTCCTTTTACATATGTCTCCCTACACTGTGGGTAACAAATTTGTTCTTGACTATTAACTGTTTGATTCCAGCACTGTGCCCCCAGTGGCCCGTCCTGAGCTGGATTTCCAACACGGACATAAGCTGCCCTTAGCAAGTGTGAGTCAATTGTGTTCGATGAGCTTCTCAGATGCACTTCCTGGAGAGGACGCAGAAACCCCAGTCAGCATACATCTGACTGCAGGGCCATCATCCTATTCCCTATCTTACAAACAAAAGAAATAGGAACCCTGCCTGTGTGGCTCAGTTGGATGAGTATCATCGCATGCACCAAACGGTCTCTGATTCCCCATCAGGGCACATGCCTGTGCTGCAGGCTCAATCTTCAGTAGTGGGCATGCAGGAGGCAGCCGATCTATGTTTCTCTTCTCACATTGATGTTCCTCTCTCACTCTTTCCCTTCCTCTCTCTTTCTAAAAATCAATACCCCCGCCTTTTTTTTTTTTTTCTTAAAGAGAAAGAAATAGGAAGCCACACTTACCAGTTGTTCCTCCTCCAGGTTCGGAGTCAGCCGAAATGATGCCAGGATATCTCAGGCATCGGAAATCTAACCCATACCGGTAATAATAATACTACAAAAGGAAGGAAACTTAGTTTAAAAAGAATCTTTTAAATCAGATAGAGCAATACAAAGAAATAACAGCCTTTTTCTGAAATACCATCCTAATCAGTAATATTAAAATTCTCCTGAAGGAAAGGAAGACTCTAGAATTTCTAACAGACTCTCATTTTTCTTTAATAAATAACTTCAACTTGTATCTTCAAAGAATCATCATCCTGGGGTTACATCAACATAGTAAATAATAACTCAGCCCCCAGTAGGGATTTCCACCCTTTCTTTGGGAAGGAGTCCCTGCTTATTGTCCTGCACAGCAGCACTGGAAAGAGTACAGGGAAGGACAGTGGGTGACTGGAGAGCAACGACTGTGACATCAGCTGAAGGATCAGACACCAACTAAAATTTGCTATATGGTACAAAAAAGACACAGAGTATAAAAGAATAAAACCAGCCCTGGCAGTTTGCTCAGTTGATTGGAGCATCATCCCATATATCAAAAGGTTGTGGGTTTGACTGCTGATTAGGGCACATACCTAGGTTGTGGTTTTCATCCCCAGTTGGGCCCAGCCAGCATGGCTCAGTGGCTGAGCATCAACCTATGAACCAGGTCACGATTTGATTCCTGGCCAGGGCACATGCCCAGGTTGCAGGCTCGATCACTGAGGGTTGTGAATGAGGCAGCCAATCAATGATTCTCTCTCATCATTGATGTTTCTATCTTTCTCTCTTTCTCCCTTCCTCTCTGAAATCAATAATATAATATTTTTTTAAAAAAAAATCCCCAGTTGGGCCCCTGTAGGAGGCAAGAATCATTGTTTCTCTCTCCCTCTCTCCCTCTCTCTAAAAATGAATAAATAAAATAAAAAGCATATCCTCAGGTGAGGATTAAAAAAATTATTTAAAGTTACCAACAATAACTACCAATAATGGGAGAACAAACAAAAGGGCAGCAAATGCCATTTGAGGGCCTCTAGGAAGTGTAAGTGGTACCATATGGCTGAGGGCTGAGTTCTTCCAGAGCTATCTGAACATGCTGTTTTGCAATCATAATCAGTTTATGAGCATTTCTGGGGGATGGGATGGGGGAAGGGGAAGCCCCCCAAGGATAAACCAGCAGGCGTCTGAGGCAAAAGAACAAAAAAGAAAACACTGAGTCATCTTGCCAAACGATACGTACTTCTCCCATGAGCTCGGCGTGGACCTTGGACACCCCGTAGATCGTCCTGGGTCTCTGAATGCAGAGATCAGGGGTTGGGTCCCGGGGAGAAGTAGGTCCGAAAGCTCCGATCGTGCTGGGCACAAACAATCGCAAATTGTGTTCCAAGGCAACATCCAGAACGTTATGCAATCCTGAAAGCAACAGACAGTATCACAACTGAACAACCCCTTGCTGAAGAACGGGAAACATCGACAAATACTGGGCAAGGTCCAGAGACTTACCTGTGATATTTACCGCTTTTGCCAAGGGTACGTTTGCTTCTCCGACCGCACTGAGCACAGCGCTATAGTGGATCAGCCAGGTGATGCGGTGATTTACCACTATCTCTCGAAGATGCTTGTAATCCAGAACGTCGGAATGAATAAATGGGCCTACAAGGAACATGGTGAAACCACAAAAGTGAGAAGTTGGGGGTTTGAAAAGCTAAATGGTCCTCCCCACTCCTTGAGCTGTGAATTCCATTAATACCAACTTGGTAACTGAACCACTTCGACACTATTGGGCATTTTACTATGGAAGAATCGCCAGCTACAACCACCTCACAGTTGACAACAGCTAATGCTTATAAGGACTTAGACTTGCAGGCACTGCTCTAAGGGCTTTCTGTATATGTAGCTCTCACACCGCCTCTGAGGTAGACACATTTTACTGATGAGGAAACTGAGGCACAGAGAGGTTAAGAACTTGCCAGAATCAGAGTAAGTGGGAGAAATATGGTCACAACCAGGCAATTGGATCCAGTCAGCATTGTTAACACCAACCCTACATTCAGAGTGATTGCATTCTGCTTAAAAGTTAGGTATTTTTAAAGGAAGAAAGAAATGGGTTTAAAAACCAAAACAAAATACCATGGTACAGAACAGTGGTTTTCAACCAATATGCCACAAGAAATTTTAAAACATGCAATACCTGACTATTTAGTCTGGGGCAGTGATCTCTTTTCCCTTAGATTGTCAACTGAAAAAAAAAAAAATGGCCCTATTCAGTTTGGCTCAATGCATAGAGTATCAGCCTGCAGACTGAAGGGTCCTGGGTTTGATTCCAGTCAAGGGCACATGCCAGGGTTATTTGGGGGCATGCAAGAGGCAGCCAATCAGTGATTCTCTCTCATCATTGATGTTTCTATCTCTCTCTCCCCTCTCTCTTCCTCTCTCTGGAATCAATAAAAATATATTTTTAAAAAATGGCAACAGCCAACACAATAGCCATCTGGTGTGAATGAATGAAAACTATACCTATTCTTTTTGTCAGATAGGCAAAAATATATATTTTGGAGTGTCACAGAATTTTAGTAATTAGTTTATGTGTACAATGAGATGTAAAAGGTTGAAAATCACTGGTATAGAAGAACCAGAAATCATGAATTTATAATACCCGGTTGATTTGGAGGTAAAGCTGATTTTATTCAATGCCAATTTTCCCATTATAGCAAATTACCATTCTTCCCCTCCATAAACAGCAAAAGGATGGTATTGAAACAGAAAGGACTAGAAGACACTATAAAAACATTTCTGATTTAGTGGAGTTAGATGAGTTTGAGGTGTGTGTGTGTGTGTGTGTGTGTGTGTGTGTGTGTGTATACACAGTAGTTTAAGAGCAAGTCTATGTTGAAATATGAGGATTATTTTCTCCAAATTTTTAAAGTTCCTCATTATAGGATTTTAGTTTTGTTTGCTAGCTCTCTGAGCCAATAAGTTTACTAAAAACTCAAAAAGACAGGAATTGCCCAGCCGGTGTGGCTCAGTGGTTGAGTGTAGATCTATGAACCAGAAGGTTGCAGGTTAGATTCCTGGTTAGGGCACACGCCCATGTTGCGCACTCGATCCCCAAAAGGGGGCGTGCAGGAGGCAGCTGATCAATGATTCTCATCATTGATGTTTCTCTCTCTCTTCCTCTCTAAAATCAATAAAATACATATATTAAAAAAACAGTAATCAATGCTTTTATTCCAAAGATACTATGCCACATGATAGCCAAAGATGTTATTCCAAAACTTTACATTCAGAACTCTCCTATTCTTGTCACACTTAAATGAGCAGCAGCATAACTATAGACATTTTACAGAACTACCAAGGACACATCTGTGCCTCAATACTTCTCCTTCTTTAATGCACACACCTGGTTAAGAGCTGTGGCACACAGATTTCATGAGCTGCTTCTCTAACTGCACTTTGAAAAGTAAAGAAAAAAACAAAAGCAATGATCTCTCACCACTATGGAACACCTGGTCGGGGGGTTTTCTTATGTCAGACAAAATCACATTGTCCTTCCCAAATTGTTTCCTGAAGGGAAAATCAATACACATGAGTTGGTACAGCGAGGATATAATTGGTTCTATGAAAACAGTCTTTCAAATAAGAACTGTAACTTGCGGTCAGCCTCTGAATCCCCTTTTTTTTCATGCCTTTTATCCCTCTTCTTCCCAAACACACACACCCTCAGTTCTGACCACACTCAGGCCTCTCTCTCCCTTTTCATACCCCCATCTTCTGTTCCTACTTTCACCTCTTATCATCCCTATGTTTGCCATCAATTTCTTCCCTGTACCCATAAGTTTTTACCTCTCCCTCCCCATTCTTCTTTCCTTGCTCTTATTTTTTCATCCCACTCCCTCTAAATCCCACACTGTTCCTTGTCAGTTTCTACACGTACTTCCCTCTGCCCCAAAACATCTAAAAATCAAGTGATTCATTTGGAGTTAGGTGTCTTACTCTGTCTAAGTGAGAAAAGAGAGGGCGCAAAGGACCAGTGTGGGAGATGTTGAGCCAAATGTCTATGATATTAAGAGGCCAAATGAAATGTATTCTAAACAGCCACTTTAGATATGGTATCTTCAAAACAGGAAGGGGAGGGAAAAGATTAAATGGTTAAATGGTACCAAAGACCAACGTCCTATACTGAAGAACTCAGATTTCAAATTTCAGCTTTTAAGGCTCTTACCTTAACAAGGTAGCAAGCCCCACTCCAAGCTGGCCAAGACCCCCTAGATAAAGGGGAGAAAAAGTAAAACTTTAATCCAAATCTAACCAAAGCAATTATTCCCAAAATGGAATAATGGAATAGGCTATAGTTATAATCTTATCTAATTAGATAAAGTCCCAGGTTGGCCTGATAGAATTGAATTACCTCCTCCAAGTGAATATAGAAATCGATACAGCTAAGATTAGTTTCAGAGACAACCCTCTCTCCAGCACAAAGTCCCTAAAGGGAAGAAAGGGTGTAGGAAGAGAAAAGTCACAAGGAAGCCGACAACCTCCCAGCTCCTCGGGCCAGAAATTTGTTCCCAGCTTTGCCTTCGTTTTTCAATGGCTCTGAAGCTTGTCTACTACAAGTGTTAAAATACGCAAATATACAGTTTGTCTTGGCCTCTGGTGGGATTTCCCAGGACCCCATCCTCCATCAAAACTGGAGTGGGATGTGAAAGGAGAAAGAGGGGGGACAAACCAAGAAGGTATCTGAAAAAAGGGGCAGATAATTGAATCAACAAAAAGGCATTAAAATCAATAAAATGGCATTAAAATGTCACTGATAGAAATGGGAGAGCTGGGCAGGGGGCAGGGGGAGAGGGGGCGGTGCTGGGAGCACATTTGAAGGAACATACCATAAATTTCATTTGGGAGAAATGAATGAGGCAGGAAGATACAGAAAGTGGGATTTCTTGTAAGCACAGGTTAACATGGGACTGAAACCAGGCCCACTGATGCTCACATGGGCCCTGGAAGATGCTTCGTTAGTGAAAGTAGGAGGGAGTAAAACAGCAGACAACAAGCTGAGCAAATCAGAGAGGAAAGTGCAGAGGGGAACCTATAACACTTGAAACCTATTCACAGCAGAAGAAGAGAAAGAAGCAGTAAAAGAAACACACACACACACACACACCCACACACACACACACACACACACACACTGTGAGGAATGTAAGCCAAGGGAAGAAAACCTGGCAAGAAGGAAATAAACATGTCAATTAAATCAGATGGGCTTGGATTGGCTGGAAGTACGTGGGAGTGAAGTTTGCAGTGAGGCGGGTACAAAATCAGGCATTGGGTGTACAGGGATAAGGAGGATCAGGGAGCAAGTCTGGTGACAATGAGATGGATGGTAACATGAGATGATGGGGGTGAGCTCCTCCAGGCAGGCCCTAACTTATCTTCTCTGTCTCCAACACACAAACATGTAGTAACTGCTTGGGATGAATGACACCGAGTTTAGGTTGAGAAATTTCAACAAGAAAAGATGCGCCTGGTTTCAGAATCCATGCTTTCATCCTGCACCTTTGCTCCCAAGACGATCCTAATAAGGCAGTGGAACTGAGATCCACAACAGCTTTTGGACCCCCAGCTAAATAGTTCCTCCCTCAGATAATTAAAAATTATAGCAGGGAGCCCTGGCCAGTGAAGCTCAATGGTTGGAGTGTCAGCCCATGCAACGAAGGGTTTGATTCCAGGTCAAGGGCACATACCTGGGTTGCAGGCTCAATCCCTGGCCCCACTTAGGGCATGGGCAAGAGGCAACCAATTGATGTGCCTCTCTCACATTGATGTTTCTCTCTCTTCCTCTCTCTCTTCTCCCCTATCCCTTCCTCCCTTCCACTCTCTTTGAAAATCAATGGGCAAAAACATCCTTGGGTGAGAATTAACAACAACAACAAAAATTATGACAGGGAAAACAAATAAAGATTAGAGATCTTCAATATTCGGGAGGAAAAGGTAGTCTATGATTAATAAATGTTAGCTGATAGCATGTCAAACATTCCAAAAACAAATACACAATCACACAGAAGCTGCACAGAAGATAAAATAATCAAGCCACAAACTCAACCTGTAATGAAGATCCGCGGCCGGTCTGTTTCAGATAGAGAAGCAGAGTGGCAGTTGGCATTTGCTGGAATTTGCCAAGGGGAGGTGCCCAGGACCCGGCCGGGCAGGGCAGCTGCCCTACAGCCACAGGCGGGGCTCTGCAGCATCTGGCCCACAACTCGCTGCAGCATCCTAAGGACTGGCATTTTCTCAAATACCCTGTAAGAAAAAAGGAGCAGAGTTCATTATGGAACCTATATGTCCCAAGCCCTCATAACACAAACTCCTTAACCAGAATTAACATTAAGATTGTCAGCTCACCCCGACCGGTTTGGCTCAGTGGATAGAGCATTGGCCTGCGGACTGAAGGGTCCCGGGTTCGAGTCTGGTCAAGGGCATGTACCTTGGCTGTGGGCACATCCCCAGTGGGGGGTGTGCAGGAGGCAGCTGATCGATGTTTCTCTCTCATTGATGTTTCTAACTCTCTATCCCTCTCCCTGCTTCTCTATAAAAAATCAATAAAATATATAAAATATATATATATATATATATATATATATATATATATATATATATATATAAAAGATTGTCAGGTCACTAGGGAGCGGATGGGGACAGGTCAATGGGGGGAAAAGGAGACATGTGTAACACTTTCAAAAATAAAGAATTTTATAGCAGGATACAAAATTAACCCCAAGAAATCTGAGGCATTTCTATACACCAATAGTGAACTTTCAGAAAGAGAGATTATAAAAACAATCCAATTTACCATTGCACCAAAAAAATTAAGCTACCTAGGAATAAACTTAACTAAAGAGGTAAAAGACCTCTACTCAGAAAACTACAGGATGTTGGAAAAAGAGATAGAGGAAGACATAAACAGAGGGAAGAACATACCGTGTTCATAGATTGGTAGAATCAACATCATTAAAATGTCCATACTACCCAAAACAACCTATAAATTCAACACACTTCCCATTAAAATACCAACGGCATACTTCACAGATCTAGAACGAACTCTCCAAAAATTCATCTGGAATAAAAAAAGACCCCGAATAGCTGCAGCAATCCTGAGAAAGAACAAAGTAGGTGGGATCTCAATACCAGATATCAAGCTGTATTACAAAGCCACTGTTCTCAAAACTGCCTGGTACTAGCACAAGAACAGGCATATAGATCAATGGAATAGAATAGAGAGCCCAGAAATCGGCCCAAACCAATATGCTCAATTAATATTGACAAAGGAGGCAAGAACATACAATGGAGCCAAGACAGTCTCTTCAATAAATGGTGTTGGGAAAATTGGACAGATATATGCAAGAAAATGAAACTAGACCACCAACTTACACCATACACAAGAATAAACTCAAAATGGATAAAGGACTTAAATGTACGACGGGAAACCATAAAAATTCTAGAAGAATCCAAAGGCAACAAAATCTCAGACATATGCCGAAGCAATTTCTTCACTGATACAGCTCCTAGGGCACTTGAAACTAAAGAGAAAATGAACAAATGGGACTACATCAAAACAAAAAGCTTCTGCACAGCAAAAGAAACCATCAACAAAACAACAAGAAAACCCACTGCGTGGGAAAACATATTTGCCAATGTCATATCTGATAAGGGCCTAATCTCCAAAATTTATAGGGAACTCATACAACTTAACAAAAGGAAGATAAACAATCCAATCAAAAAATGGACAAAGGACCTAAATAGACACCTTTCAAAAGAGGATATTCAGAAAGCCAAGAGACATATGAAAACATGTTCAAAGTCACTAATCATCCGCGAGATGCAAATCAAAACAACAATGAGGTACCATCTCACACCTGTCAGACTGGCTATCATCAACAAATCAACAAACGACAAGTGCTGAGAGGATGTGGAGAAAAAGGAACACTCGTGCACTGCTGGTAGGAATGCAGACTGGTGCAGCCACTATGGAAGACAGTATGGAGTTTCCTCAAAAAACTGAAAATGGAACTCCCATTTGACCCTGTGATCCCACTTCTAGGAATATATCCCAAGAAACCAGAAACACCAATCAGAAAGGATATATGCACCCATATGTTCATAGCAGCACAATTCACCATAGCTAAGATCTGGAAACAGCCTAAGTGCCCATCAGTAGATGAATGGATTAGAAAACTGTGGTACATCTACATGATGGAATACTATGCTGCTGTAAAAAAGAAGGAACTCTTACCATTTGCAATGGCATGGATGGAACTGAAGAGCATTATGCTAAGTGAAATAAGCCAGTCAATGAAGGAAAAATACCACATGATCTCACTCATTCATGGATAATAGAGACCATTATAAACTTTTGAACAATAATAGATACAGAGGCAGAGCTGCCTCAAACAGATTGTCAAACTGCAGCGGGAAGGCCAGGGAGGGTTGGGGGGGCAGGAGGGAGGTGGGTAAGAGATCAACCGAAGGACTTGTATGCATGCATATAAGCATAACCAATGGACATAAGACACTGGGGGGTAGGGGAGGCCAGGGGATTGTCAAGGGCGGGGGGGGGGGGAGGACACATATGTAATACCCTTTGTAATACTTTAAGCAATAAAAAATAAATAAATAAATAAATAAATAAAATAAAGAATTTTTTAAAAAAGATTGTCAGTTCACGAGCAAAGCCATGTTTTGGATTCATGAACTGAACTAATGAGACTGCTGAGTGTGCCGGTCAAGAAGCCCATTGGGAGCAGAGCCCTGTGAAAAGGGGATAAAACACTCCTCATGCAAAGTGCAGGCAAACAAAGGCTGGATGGAGATTTAGAATTGGAAGTGCACAATGCTGACATTAACTAGGCTCTCCTGTCACCGCGGACCTTACTACATAGAGTCATACACACCAGAAACACTACGTCAGCGGATCCTAGAGAAGGCTTTAACACTGACAACTGTTATCAACCTGTCTGTGCACCAACACAGAGCACAAATAGGTCCCAGGTTAAATAACACAGTGCCACCTGGCCAGCACGGCTCAGTGGTGGAGCGTCAACCTATGAACCAGGATGTCAAGGTTCGATTCCCTGTCAGGGCACATGCTAGGGCGTGCAGGAGGTAGCCGATCAATGATTCTCTCATCATTGATGTTTCTATCTCTCTCCCTTCCTCTCTGAAATCAAAAAATATATACTTTAAAAAATAACAATAACATAGTGCTGTGTAACACTCCGATGTTATCTTTAGAATGAACCAGACTAGAAAAGCAGATGGTTAGGGTAAAATGGCCCTCAGCAATATTCAGTAAGCTGTGACTAGTTTCTGCTTCAATGCCATCACTTTAGAAAAAATCATTTAGAAAAGTCATTTTCTATTTTCTTCCCAGATTATGCATATTTGATTTCAATCTGGCTCCTCCTCTTCCTCAGCTTTTGCACTGACTGACCATGAAATCAGTTCTAGCCTCAAGAGGTCAAGATGGTCCAATTAGCCCTGCTGGAGTGGCTCAGTGGTTGAGCACTGACCTATGAACCAGGAGGTCACAGTCCAATTCCCGGTCAGGGCACATGCCAGGGTTTGCGGGCTCAAACCTCAGTAGGGAGCATGTAGGAAGGAGGGGGTCAATGATTCTCTCTCATCATGGATGTTTCTATGTCTCTCCCTCTCCCTTCCTCTCTAAAATCAATAAAAAATATATTTTTTTTAAAAAGATGGTCCAATCACACATGGATTGAGACTGGACAATGCACAAAGGGCTTCCATTTTCCTCATTCCATCCCCAACAACCAGGTAAGTGTGTCACAAGAGTACATCAGAGCCCCACATCTTGCAAACTTCCCACCCTCTAGTGTCAGGCCGATTGCACTTTGCACACAGCCCCGTGGCCTCCACCGCCCTCTGTTGTAAGACTTCCAGCAGCACTGGCAGATGAACCTTCAGAGCTGACTCTGGTGCCCTACCCCTCAAAAGAGATAACCCAGATCTCAACCATTGTATATTGTACACCATGAAAGGAGAAAAGGTAACCAGAGTTGAAGACATTTCCAGTTTAGGATCTGAATTTAGCCTACTACCACACTCAACTCAGTGTCTTGAGTTAGATAACAGTAATTCTAAATTAAAATGCCAGGAGTAGCAGCTTTTTTGTAATCCTTAAAGTCCAAATTATAGGGGGGAAAAAACACCAATCTTCTGAAAACATATGCTTTAACACCCTTTTATGAGCCACAAAAGGTTTAGTTCTTTAGGACAAAGAAATAAGGTGGGTGGAAGTGTGGGTACTTCTGTCAGATCAGTGGCTTGATCCGACAGTTCCCCAGTATCAGATGGAGTCCTACATACAAAGGTCCCGAGGCCCTTCGTCCCAGCTAACTTTCCCAAACAAGCAGGAAAGAACCCTCACTGACACATCTCTGGCTCCATGCTCAGGCATCCAGGGTGTGCCATGTTACGAAAAGGCCCGAGCTGCCTTCAAGCATCCCTTAGGAGACCTTTGGGAGACCATTTTGCAGCCAATCTTGACACCTGAGACCAGGTAAGAACTTTGATTCTCAAAGTCACCTATTTCAGCAAGTTCAAGGGGATCATGAGGAAGCCAAGAAATTAGATCTACCAGAACAGTTGAAACTCAAGGAGAGTTCTCAATTCCAAAAGCAAAATAATAAATGGCCACAATTTAAAAGGGTTTGTTTTTTGTTTGTTTTTAAAGGTTCAGTAGACTACAGTCAGGGAAAGGCAAACTGAAGATATGAAATAGGTACAACTCTATTCATCTCTTCTTTCCCTTCTTTAAGGAGTTGAAGGCATGACGGAGGTACAAATTTCTAATTGCATATAAAGCTTTTTAGTTTAATAATGTGGACAATTCATAATTGAGTTAATTCATCCTATTCCACTACTATTAATAGCTAACATTTGATGCTCACAGGTGTGGAGAGCTTTACTGAACTATCGAATTTACCCAAGGCAGCCACCACCCCTTCAGGACCCAATTATTAACCACCAAGCGGCACTACTGTCCCTATTATGGGATTGCTTTAACAATGCATGGACTTTAAAAACAGAAGCAAAACAAAACACTTCTAATCACCTACAGCATATAGCTTTTCTAAGTCAAGATTATACTGCTCCTGCCAAGTTCAAGTTAATACGCATAAGGCAGCAATTCTCAAGTTTCCTGGTCTTAGGACTCCTTTAAACTCTTAAAAATTTAGGGCTATAAAGAGCTTTTGTTTATGTGGCTTAT